CATGACAGTAGCTGGTGGTGGGTAGGATACATGACAGTAGCTGGTGGTGGGTAAGATGCATGACAGTAGCTGGTGGTGGGTAAGATACATGACAGTAGCTGGTGGTGGGTAAGATACATGACAGTAGCTGGTGGTGGGTAGGATACATGACAGTAGCTGGTGGTGGGTAGGATACATGACAGTAGCTGGTGGTGGGTAGGATACATGACAGTAGCTGGTGGTGGGTAGGATACATGACAGTAGCTGGTGGTGGGTAGGATACATGACAGTAGCTGGCAGTGGGTAGGATATATGACTAGTAGCTGGTGGTGGGTAGGATACATGACAGTAGCTGGTGGTGGGTAGGATACATGACAGTAGCTGGTGGTGGGTAGGATACATGACAGTAGCTGGTGGTGGGTAGGATACATGACAGTAGCTGGTGGTGGGTAGGATACATGACAGTAGCTGGCAGTGGGTAGGATATATGACTAGTAGCTGGTGGTGGGTAGGATACATGACAGTAGCTGGTGGTGCGTAGGATACATGACAGTAGCTGGTGGTGGGTACGATACATGACAGTAGCTGGTGGTGGGTAGGATACATGACAGTAGCTGGTGGTGGGTAGGATACATGACAGTAGCTGGTGGTGGGTACGATACATGACAGTAGCTGGTGGTGGGTAGGATACATGACAGTAGCTGGTGGTGGGTAGGATACATGACAGTAGCTGGTGGTGGGTACGATACATGACAGTAGCTGGTGGTGGGTAGGATACATGACAGTAGCTGGTGGTGGGTAGGATACATGACAGTAGCTGGTGGTGGGTAGGATACATGACAGTAGCTGGTGGTGGGTAAGATACATGACAGTAGCTGGTGGTGGGTAGGATACATGACAGTAGCTGGTGGTGGGTAGGATACATGACAGTAGCTGTGGTGGGTAGGATATATGACAGTAGCTGGTGGTGGGTAGGATACATGACAGTAGCTGGCAGTGGGTAGGATACATGACAGTAGCTGGTGGTGGGTAGGATACATGACAGTAGCTGGTGGTGGGTAGGATACATGACAGTAGCTGGTGGTGGGTAAGATACATGACAGTAGCTGGTGGTGGGTAGGATACATGACAGTAGCTGGTGGTGGGTAGGATACATGACAGTAGCTGGTGGTGGGTAGGATACATGACAGTAGCTGGTGGTGGGTAGGATACATGACAGTAGCTGGTGGTGGGTAAGATACATGACAGTAGCTGGTGGTGGGTAAGATACATGACAGTAGCTGGTGGTGGGTAGGATACATGACAGTAGCTGGTGGTGGGTAGGATACATGACAGTAGCTGGTGGTGGGTAGGATACATGACAGTAGCTGGTGGTGGGTAGGATACATGACAGTAGCTGGTGGTGGGTAGGATACATGACAGTAGTGGTGGTGGGTAGGATACTGGTAGGGTGGTGGGTAGGATACATGGTGGTGGGTAGGATACAGTAGCTGGTGGTGGGTAGGATACATGGCAGTAGCTGGTGGTGGGTAGGATACATGACAGTAGCTGGTGGTGGGTAGGATACATGACAGTAGCTGGTGGTGGGTAGGATACATGACAGTAGCTGGTGGTGGGTAGGATACATGACAGTAGCTGGTGGTGGGTAGGATACATGACAGTAGCTGGTGGTGGGTAGGATACATGACAGTAGCTGGTGGTGGGTAGGATACATGACAGTAGCTGGTGGTGGGTAGGATACATGACAGTAGCTGGTGGTGGGTAGGATACATGACAGTAGCTGGTGGTGGGTAGGATACATGACAGTAGCTGGTGGTGGGTAGGATACATGACAGTAGCTGGTGGTGGGTAGGATACATGACAGTAGCTGGTGGTGGGTAGGATACATGACAGTAGCTGGTGGTGGGTAGGATACATGACAGTAGCTGGTGGTGGGTAGGATACATGACAGTAGCTGGTGGTGGGTAGGATACATGACAGTAGCTGGCAGTGGGTAGGATACATGACAGTAGCTGGTGGTGGGTAGGATACATGACAGTAGCTGGTGGTGGGTAGGATACATGACAGTAGCTGGCAGTGGGTAGGATACATGACAGTAGCTGGTGGTGGGTAGGATACATGACAGTAGCTGGTGGTGGGTAGGATACATGACAGTAGCTGGTGGTGGGTAGGATACATGACAGTAGCTGGTGGTGGGTAGGATACATGACAGTAGCTGGTGGTGGGTAGGATATATGACTAGTAGCTGGTGGTGGGTAGGATATATGACAGTAGCTGGTGGTGGGTAGGATATATGACAGTAGCTGGTGGTGGGTAGGATATATGACTAGTAGCTGGTGGTGGGTAGGATACATGACAGTAGCTGGTGGTGGGTAGGATACATGACAGTAGCTGGTGGTGGGTAGGATACATGACAGTAGCTGGTGGTGGGTAGGATACATGACAGTAGCTGGTGGTGGGTAGGATACATGACAGTAGCTGGTGGTGGGTAGGATATATGACAGTAGCTGGTGGTGGGTAGGATACATGACTAGCTGGTGGTGGGTAGGATACATGACAGTAGCTGGTGGTGGGTAGGATACATGACAGTAGCTGGTGGTGGGTAGGATACATGACAGTAGCTGGTGGTCGGTAGGATACATGACAGTAGCTGGTGGTCGGTAGGATACATGACAGTAGCTGGTGGTGGGTAGGATACATGACAAGTAGCTGAATAGTTTCCAATGCTTGCATTATTTTAACTTCAGCTACTATTGCTTACTATGCCAATATGTTATAACTATAGCATGTTGGCTTGAGGAGATGGGCTGCCATGTTGGCTTGGGGAGATGGGCTGCCATGTTGGCTTGTGGAGATGGGCTGCCATGTTGGCTTGTGAAGATGGGCTGCCATGTTGGCTTGTGGAGATGGGCTGCCATGTTGGCTTGTGGAGATGGGCTGCCATGTTGGCTTGGGGAGATGGGCTGCCATGTTGGCTTGGGGAGATGGGCTGCCATGTTGGCTTGTGAAGATGGGCTGCCATGTTGGCTTGTGGAGATGGGCTGCCATGTTGGCTTGTGAAGATGGGCTGCCATGTTGGCTTGTGGAGATGGGCTGCCATGTTGGCTTGTGGAGATGGGCTGCCATGTTGGCTTGTGAAGATGGGCTGCCATGTTGGCTTGTGGAGATGGGCTGCCATGTTGGCTTGTGAAGATGGGCTGCCATGTTGGCTTGTGAAGATGGGCTGCCATGTTGGCTTGGGGAGATGGGCTGCCATGTTGGCTTGGGGAGATGGGCTGCCATGTTGGCTTGGGGAGATGGGCTGCCATGTTGGCTTGGGGAGATGGGCTGCCATGTTGGCTTGGGGAGATGGGCTGCCATGTTGGCTTGTGAAGATGGGCTGCCATGTTGGCTTGGGGAGATGGGCTGCCATGTTGGCTTGTGAAGATGGGCTGCCATGTTGGCTTGTGAAGATGGGCTGCCATGTTGGCTTGTGAAGATGGGCTGCCATGTTGGCTTGGGGAGATGGGCTGCCATGTTGGCTTGTGAAGATGGGCTGCCATGTTAGCTTGTGGAGATGGGCTGCCATGTTGGCTTGTGAAGATGGGCTGCCATGTTGGCTTGGGGAGATGGGCTGCCATGTTGGCTTGTGAAGATGGGCTGCCATGTTGGCTTGTGAAGATGGGCTGCCATGTTGGCTTGTGAAGATGGGCTGCCATGTTGGCTTGTGAAGATGGGCTGCCATGTTGGCTTGTGAAGATGGGCTGCCATGTTGGCTTGTGAAGATGGGCTGCCATGTTGGCTTGTGAAGATGGGCTGCCATGTTAGCTTGTGGAGATGGGCTGCCATGTTGGCTTAGTGAGATTTAGTAGCCGATGTGTCCAGTTATTTATATAGGACGGTGAGTGGCCAGCACAAGACTCTTGCTCTTTAGTATCCATCATGAAGACAAATGTGCTTACCTCAAGATGTGTGCTGCTTGCCAGTGTGTAGAGCCAAGTAGAGTCAGGTGTTGATCGTGACCGACCCCACAGACACCATCTTGGGCTGCAGTGTCTCCTGACCCAGAGTAGTCATTTGTTATGCTCCCCACATTCTTCCCGTGGGCGGTGGTGGAAAGGGTTAGTCACATAATGGGATCGGGAACTGAACCCTATAGTTCATTCAGCTAGTTACACAATTTTATTTTACACAAATACACGTATACATATATCGATGTCTTTTTAATATGACAGGTGATTCAAGAAGTGGCCTATAAAACAGTCTATGCAGGTAGTTTATATATTTATATAAACCAATTTTGGATTACAGGTGGTGTAAACTCCCAGAGGTACTCTTAGCCGAGCCTAAGCCTAGCAGTGGTAACATCTTGAAGTCTGTTTACCTTGTTGGATTACCCATAGACATGTGGTTCTTCCTGCATAATAGAATGTTGATAGATGGAGTAACTAGTGTGAATTTCACTTTGCATCAAGTCTACAAGATTTTGTTGGTGTTCCTGCAATATTACTGTTCTTAGGCTCCTTAAAGGCAGTCCAAGATGGTAATCAGTTTTCCCTCTTTGAGGAAAAGTTTTGGCTAACTCGTCAGGTCTGTCATGCATTTGGAGACCAATATGGGAAAGGGAGGAATCCACAGGAGACAAACTCTGATTCCATCATTGATTACTTGATTATATTTGTCAAGCTTTAGACACAAGCATGTCAGTTATGCCTTGGAGCTGAGTGCGACTAAGAATGACAAGGAGTCATGGAGTCACTTAGAATAAACGTGTCAATTTTGGACTTGTATGCTCATTCGAGTGCAAGGATTATAGCAACCAATTGTTTGAAGAGTGGAGGCCTAGTTATTTATACCTGCTCTACACTCACAGGAATAGGAGGCATCTACCACTGTCACAACAATTGCACTTCCTGCTGCACCATAGGACTGGTGCAAGGAGCCATCAGAGTAAATAATTTTATTTGTTAAATAAAAATCTAATAATGGATGCAATGGGGAGTATATATTGTTGTCTTAATGAAGACACTCAATGTTTACAGGCATTGCATGGTGATGCCACAGGGATTGATGAGAAGTTGAAGCCCATCACCCTGCGCTCCATACCTAAACTACGAGAGTTCACCAACGACACCATTATGGACGTGCTGCTCTTTAACAGCCCCATCTACTGCCAGGTACAGCCCTGAGTTGACTTGTGACGGTACAGTACGTGTTTGTTGTGTGGTCATGTTTGTGCCGGCAGAGTGTGTGTTGTGTGGTCATGTTTGTGCCGGCAGAGTGTGTGTTGTGTGGTCATGTTTGTGCCGGCAGAGTATGTGTGTGTTGTGTGGTCATGTTTGTGCCGGCAGAGAATGTGTTGTGTGGTCATGTTTGTGCCGGCAGAGAATGTGTTGTGTGGTCATGTTTGTGCCGGCAGAGAATGTGTTGTGTGGTCATGTTTGTGCCGGCAGAGAATGTGTTGTGTGGTCATGTTTGTGCTGGCAGAGAATGTGTTTGTTGAGTGGTCATGTTTGTGTTGGCAGAGTATGTGTTGTGTGGTCATGTTTGTGCTGGCAGAGTATGTGTTGTGTGGTCATGTTTGTGCCGGCAGAGAATGTGTGTGTTGTGTGGTCATGTTTGTGCCGGCAGAGTATGTGTTGTGTGGTCATGTTTGTGCCGGCAGAGTATGTGTTGTGTGGTCATGTTTGTGCCGGCAGAGTATGTGTTGTGTGGTCATGTTTGTGCTGGCAGAGAATGTGTTGTGTGGTCATGTTTGTGCCGGCAGAGAATGTGTTGTGTGGTCATGTTTGTGCTGGCAGAGAATGTGTTGTGTGGTCATGTTTGTGCTGGCAGAGAATGTGTTGTGTGGTCATGTTTGTGCTGGCAGAGAATGTGTTGTGTGGTCATGTTTGTGCCGGCAGAGAATGTGTTGTGTGGTCATGTTTGTGCTGGCAGAGAATGTGTTGTGTGGTCATGTTTGTGTTGGCAGAGTATGTGTTGTGTGGTCATGTTTGTGCTGGCAGAGAATGTGTTGTGTGGTCATGTTTGTGCCGGCAGAGAATGTGTTGTGTGGTCATGTTTGTGCCGGCAGAGAATGTGTTGTGTGGTCATGTTTGTGCCGGCAGAGTATGTGTTGTGTGGTCATGTTTGTGCCGGCAGAGAATGTGTGTGTTGTGTGGTCATGTTTGTGCCGGCAGAGTATGTGTTGTGTGGTCATGTTTGTGCCGGCAGAGAATGTGTGTGTTGTGTGGTCATGTTTGTGCCGGCAGAGAATGTGTGTGTTGTGTGGTCATGTTTGTGCCGGCAGAGAATGTGTGTGTTGTGTGGTCATGTTTGTGCTGGCAGAGTATGTGTTGTGTGGTCATGTTTGTGCCGGCAGAGAATGTGTGTGTTGTGTGGGCATGTTTGTGCTGGCAGAGTATGTGTTGTGTGGTCATGTTTGTGCCGGCAGAGAATGTGTTGTGTGGTCATGTTTGTGCCGGCAGAGAATGTGTGTGTTGTGTGGTCATGTTTGTGCTGGCAGAGTATGTGTTGTGTGGTCATGTTTGTGCCGGCAGAGAATGTGTTGTGTGGTCATGTTTGTGCCGGCAGAGTATGTGTTTGTTGTGTGGTCATGTTTGTGCCGGCAGAGTATGTGTTGTGTGGTCATGTTTGTGCCGGCAGAGAATGTGTTGTGTGGTCATGTTTGTGCTGGCAGAGAATGTGTTGTGTGGTCATGTTTGTGCTGGCAGAGTATGTGTTGTGTGGTCATGTTTGTGCTGGCAGAGTATGTGTTGTGTGGTCATGTTTGTGCTGGCAGAGAATGTGTTGTGTGGTCATGTTTGTGCTGGCAGAGTGTGTGTTGTGTGGTCATGTTTGTGCTGGCAGAGTATGTGTTGTGTGGTCATGTTTGTGCCGGCAGAGAATGTGTTGTGTGGTCATGTTTGTGCTGGCAGAGAATGTGTTGTGTGGTCATGTTTGTGCTGGCAGAGAATGTGTTGTGTGGTCATGTTTGTGCTGGCAGAGTGTGTGTTGTGTGGTCATGTTTGTGCTGGCAGAGTGTGTGTTGTGTGGTCATGTTTGTGCTGCCAGAGTATGTGTTGTGTGGTCATGTTTGTGCTGGCAGAGTATGTGTTGTGTGGTCATGTTTGTGCTGGCAGAGTATGTGTTGTGTGGTCATGTTTGTGCTGGCAGAGTATGTGTTGTGTGGTCATGTTTGTGTCGGCAGAGTATGTGTTGTGTGGTCATGTTTGTGCTGGCAGAGAATGTGTTGTGTGGTCATGTTTGTGTCGGCAGAGTATGTGTTGTGTGGTCATGTTTGTGCTGGCAGAGAATGTGTTGTGTGGTCATGTTTGTGCTGGCAGAGTATGTGTTGTGTGGTCATGTTTGTGCTGGCAGAGAATGTGTGTGTTGTGTGGTCATGTTTGTGCTGGCAGAGAACGTGTTGTGTGGTCATGTTTGTGCTGGCAGAGAACGTGTTTGTTGCATGGTCATGTTTAGAGAGAAGCATGTACAGTATCTTCTTTTAAATGACACATTACAGGCATTAATAAACTTTGCCAACATATTGACTTACTATTGTAGGCAAATGTAATGTAACAAAAATTCAACTTGATTTATGTTCATTAGTGGCATTCTGAGATCTAATTTTATCATGAGGTTCTGAACAACACTTAAGATTTAGTCAGTAACATTCTTGCTTGAAAATTCATTTTGGGATAACTTATCTCCAAGATTGTGGTGGACAATGTTCCAATTTTTTGTTGTTCTTTGTCAGCACATTATGGATACAGTAGCATCGGAGTTAAACCGCCTGCACGCATTATTCTGCCAACGGAATCCCTCGTTCAGTGGACTGGTGTCGTTGGGTGGCCACTCGCTTGGGTCAGTCATCTTGTTTGACCTCCTCATGCATCAGTCGCCCGAGTTGAACGAAGCATTTCACAGCACGTTATCATCCCCTCAGGTAGTGTCTCGTGGATTTATCGGTAATTATTTGTATTTTGTTGTTTGTATATCTCATAAAATGTACTGCTTTTGCTATGCCCTAACATACCTATACTACTACTACACTGTACTGTTAGAAAACTGAAGTCCTCTTACACATTTGCTGTATCCAAGAGAGGAGCAGCTGTGGCAAGGTGTTACCACCCTTGAGACTAAATAAGGTTCTTCTCCCCGCAGTGCAATAAAGAAAATAATAAATCGGCCTTGCCAACAACTGTCTAGGGGTAAATATAAATCACTGCATAAAAATGGAGAACAATATATTTATGCTAAGGGGGACAATCATAAAAAACACTTAAATGTATCAATAATACCCAGAAATATTCTTCAGCATGCAAATCATAGAATAACCTCCTTATTGAGACATGAGCACTATCACTAAGACATGGATTAATTAGAGAGATATATACAATATGACCCAACCAGATAATTAACATTTATATGGGCTAAAATAACAGTGACCAATGACTTAACTTAAACCATGACTCCTCATGACCGCTGCCGCCACGCTTCTGCCCACGCCTTGGACCGCAGGCCAAGCGTCTACCAAAAAATCAACTAACCGTCCACACAAAACATTGTGGAAAATCTAATAATAAAACGCAGCACTAATATTCAAAACATTGTTAAACTAAAGAATAGTAAACACTGGTACAACATTCTATATAATACAGAAACCAAATATGGGAATAATTTAAGGTGAAACTATAAACACTCAATTGACAACAATGTTCCCACACTGGCCATATCCCAAATATGGTCAACCGCCCACACGGAGAAACTACATGAGAAATTAACACCAAAAGCCTCACACAATATAATGTAACTCATGCACACTACTGCATGCTATAATATATATATATAACATACAAATCTTATATCATACAACTAGATGCTATATTAAAGAACAAGACAATAAAGTAATATGAGAATCAAGAGTAATGCAGAATCCTAGTGAGATTCGTAACACAAGGTGACAGAGTACAGGCCTAGTGAAGCGGCTCTTGTTGGTAAATATTATATTACCTGGTGTTGGCAAGTATTATATTATACAAGTTTTATTACTTGGTATTACCTGGTGTTGGCAAGTATTATATTACACAAGTTTTATTACTTGGTATTACCTGATGTTGGCAAGTATTATATTATACAAGTTTTATTACTTGGTATTACCTGGTGTTGGCAAGTATTATATTATACAAGTTTTATTACTTGGTGTTACCTGGTGTTGGCAAGTATTATATTATACAAGTTTTATTACTTGGTGTTACCTGGTGTTGGCAAGTATTATATTACACAAGTTTTATTACTTGGTATTACCTGGTGTTGGCAAGTATTATACAAGTTTTATTACTTGGTGTTACCTGATGTTGGCAAGTATTATATTACACAAGTTTTATTACTTGGTGTTACCTGGTGTTGGCAAGTATTACACAAGTTTTATTACTTGGTATTACCTGGTGTTGGCAAGTATTATATTACACAAGTTTTATTACTTGGTGTTACCTGGTGTTGGCAAGTATTATATTATACAAGTTTTATTACTTGGTGTTACCTGGTGTTGGCAAGTATTATATTACACAAGTTTTATTACTTGGTATTACCTGGTGTTGGCAAGTATTACACAAGTTTTATTACTTGGTGTTACCTGGTGTTGGCAAGTATTACACAAGTTTTATTACTTGGTATTACCTGGTGTTGGCAAGTATTACACAAGTTTTATTACTTGGTGTTACCTGGTGTTGGCAAGTATTACACAAGTTTTATTACTTGGTATTACCTGGTGTTGGCAAGTATTACACAAGTTTTATTACTTGGTATTACCTGGTGTTGGCAAGTATTATATTATACAAGTTTTATTACTTGGTATTACCTGGTGTTGGCAAGTATTATATTACACAAGTTTTATTACTTGGTATTACCTGGTGTTGGCAAGTATTACACAAGTTTTATTACTTGGTGTTACCTGGTGTTGGCAAGTATTATATTATACAAGTTTTATTACTTGGTGTTACCTGGTGTTGGCAAGTATTACACAAGTTTTATTACTTGGTATTACCTGGTGTTGGCAAGTATTACACAAGTTTTATTACTTGGTGTTACCTGGTGTTGGCAAGTATTACACAAGTTTTATTACTTGGTATTACCTGGTGTTGGCAAGTATTATATTACACAAGTTTTATTACTTGGTGTTACCTGGTGTTGGCAAGTATTACACAAGTTTTATTACTTGGTGTTACCTGGTGTTGGCAAGTATTACACAAGTTTTATTACTTGGTATTACCTGGTGTTGGCAAGTATTATATTACACAAGTTTTATTACTTGGTATTACCTGGTGTTGGCAAGTATTATATTACACAAGTTTTATTACTTGGTGTTACCTGGTGTTGGCAAGTATTATATTACACAAGTTTTTCCAGGTAAAGCTTCTGTTTATGTGCATCTCTGTGAGTTTCCTTTTTTTACCACTTGATGCAAAGTTCTTATTTATAGAATGCAACATTATAGATTGATGAAGATTATTGTATATCTATGCTATTTTGTTTTGTTACAAGAAACTTGCTCTGTCATTCGTACTACTCTCACCAGCTGATTTCCTTTCAAGCAACACAGTTTGGCTTTCTTTGATGTTCCGGGAGTGTGGTCTGTCAAAGAGCTGCTGTTGCTGCTCATCATTGTCATCTCAAGACCTCTTACAAGTTGCTCCTCCTAGACATAAGTAAAGTGAAGTTAGTATCCCTTCATGACCTCTATGACCCTCCCAGGCCTCCTGACCTCTATGACCCTCCCAGGCCTCCTGACCTCTATGACCCTCCCAGGCCTCCTGACCTCTATGACCCTCCCAGGCCTCCTGACCTCTATGACCCTCCCAGGCCTCCTGACCTCTATGACCCTCCCAGGCCTCCTGACCTCTATGACCCTCCCAGGCCTCCTGTTACATGCCCTATCAATGTTTTACTGTCCCAAGTGAGTTTCTGTACGTCGGCTGCGAGTCTCGGCTTAACTATTGTAAACGTGTTTTAAATAAGCCAACCCACATGGATGAGTAAATGATGAGGTTTCAGTCCATCCTGGATCCTTATTGTCTTCATTTTCATGGCGTATGCGGGTTGGGTTATTTGTTTCGGCCACATTATTGAGATTCGTTCTCTTCTCATGTTTGTAGTTACAAGATTGGAACTATGCTCTTAGTGTCCTGTCATCATATGGTTTATCATAAATAAATCGATGGTTCTGTGCACACTTGTTTCCTCGTGAAGTCCATTTTGGTCATCTGTCACCAAGTGTGTGAAGAGATCACTCGTGTTATTACAAATTGTTTTCAAAATGCTTCTTTCTGTCTTTTCGTGTGTATTTGTAGATTTGTGCTCTTGAGGCACATCCAGCATCTTCAGTCTGTGCACTGCTCATATTTTTTGTCTGCATTTTTTGGCTGTGTTTGTTTCTTCCAAAATGAAATATCCCCATTTAGGTTTGACGTGTGTTGTAATTTGTTGGATCAACTTTTCTCTAAGTATGTAATCCTCTTAATGCCTTGGTCAGCAATAAGCATTTGGAAATAGTTGAGTATGCCATGCTGTGAAGGACTGAAATCATTTAAATATTTCCTGTGCTCGTTTTCACGGGAAGTGCAGCGCAACCAACTAGCGAGATCTTACCACTTGGACACCGATTAAAATTTGGTCATTTATTGGGTAGCATATTAGTATATTAATAAGGGAAGGGATCTATCGGGAGAAAGTGCCAAGCCATTACGATGATATAGCACTGGGAAGGGATCTGGATCGGGATAAGGATTAAGGGATGGGACGGAGGAAAGGAAGGGTGCCCAACCTCTTGGACGGTCGGGGATTGAACGCCGACCTACATGTAGCGAGACCGTTGCTCTACCGTCCAGAATAAGTGGTTTGGCTAGTATATTAATAGGACGATCGTTATTTAATTAAACGATTGTTATTTTTTGTGTGAGTGAAAGTAGCAGTGATCAGCATATTCTATATACTTCAGGATGATCACGATGACTGCAAGCGAGAGAACCGTAGTTCCGTAACATCGCCAGTAGACTACATCATGGGAGGAGCAGGCACGGGCCAACCGTCCATCGTATATCCCCATATTAGCTTCAAACCAGAAGCCTTTTTCCTCATGGGTTCTCCGATTGGTATGTATATCCCGAGGTTATTTGTAAACACTGTTGTTGTTGTCATAATATATTACCATAAATAACTGATTTTATATCTATATGTACCAGTACAGTATGTCGGAGAATAAATTTATTTCAAACTTCTGTTCACTCTGCCTTGAAATATTTACCCTATTTAAGTAATGGCCATGAACACACAGAAATCACAATACATATTGTAATATATCTAATGAACAAATACACAGGAGCCGTGATGAGAGTTCAAACCCTCATCACGGTCTTTGTGGATTTGTTCAATGGACATATATCTTGCTTTATTTTACAACTACAGGATGGGTACCATTAAGAGCCATTTTTGTCTACATAGATGTAGAATGCCCCTAGAAAGATAAAAGGAAACATACTAAAAAAAAACAGAAGAAAAGGTACATAAATACTTGTTAAGTACGAGTGCGTTTTATATGCCGTAAAATGTGGTATGTCCCATTTATCACAAGGCAAAAATTCCTGTGGTCGCTAATATATAAATCATCTCCACAGCTATGTTCATAACTGTTCGTGGTATAGAGACCATTGGCCCAGACTTCGAGCTTCCCACGTGCAAAAGGGTCTTCAATATTTTCCATCCATTTGATCCTGTGGCGTATCGACTGGAGACGCTGATTGATCCTAGCCTCATTGAGGTTCGACCTGTTCTTGTACCCCACCACAAGGGACGGAAGCGGATGCATCTTGGTAAGGAGGGAATTATTGAGCTTGTTGATGTTGGATGTTCAATAATTAACCCCTAAACTGTGCAGCTGCTTAAAGGCACTGCCTACGCTCGGTAATCTGAATCGTGGGAGGGCCCACCCTCCATTTGAGTTAGCTGAATTCATTACCAGGATTGTGAAAGAAATGAACAAATTCATAATTTTCTTTATACCACAAGCCAATTACTCCTGCCATTTACCAACACACTTCCTGGGTTTACCTTCACATTTTTATCCTTTAACTGCTTGCTTCTACTCTTTACTTAAAAATGATGACCAGGAATTTATTTGGATAACCTGACGATTTGGGTTGCCTGAATTCAGATTACAGAGCTATTGCATTAATAGAGAGGTGCATATAACTAAATATAGTTAAAATATTGTTGTTCGTTGTGGTAACTGCCGAGGACGGGCTGGGTAACAACCCCACCTACAGCTAGGTAGTAGTCCTCGGGCCAGATTCACAAAGCAATTACGCAAGTACTTACGAACATGTAAATCTTCCCTCAATCTTTGACGACTTTGGTTACATTGGTTAAACAGTTTACAAGCATGAAAACTTCCCAATCACCTGTTGTTATTGTTATAAACAGCCTCCTGGGGCTTTAGAGCTCTTTAACTGTTTAATAATGGTAAACAAAGCTGCCAAAGATTGAGAAAAGATGTACAGGTTCGTAAGTACTTGCCTAACTGCTTCATGAATCTGGCCCCAGGTTACACACGATCTACCTTTGCTTACCCTTCATTCTCTTGCCTGATTCTGAGCTAGTGACTGCTCTCACTTCTATCACCCTCGTGCAGTATATAACATTCTTTAGTGACTTTCCATTGGAAGTTTGTCCCATATAGGGACCATTTTTATTGCTTATATTATGTGCTTCATTACTGTGCTTATGCCAACCATGTTGTATGTGTTTAGTAACTTCTGGACCTGGGGTCAGATTCACGAAAGCACTTACGCAAACACTTACGAACTTGTACATCTTTTCTCAATCTTTGGCGGCTTTGTTTCCAATTATTAAACAGTTAATGAGCTCCGAATCACCAGGAGGCTGTTTATAACAATAACAGTCGAATGGGAAGTTTTCATGCTTGTAAACTGTTTAATAAATGCAACGAAAGCCGTCAAAGATTGAGGAAAGATGTACACGTTCGTAAGTGCTTGCGTAAGTGCTTTCATGAATCTGGCCCCTGGCCATCATCTGGCGTTATCTTCCCTGATGGGTGTTTGGGATTTCCTGGTGCGTGCTTGTGGTTCCCTGGTGCGTGTTTGTGGTTCCATAGTGCGTGCTTGTGGTTCCATAGTGCGTGTTTGTGATTTCCTGGTACGTATTTGTGATTCCCATTTCCCTACCAGAGTTACTTCGGAAAGGTTGGGTCCCTCCTCGGGGCATTCCTCTTTTCTGCCTAGTTGTGCTTGCAAGGGTTGAGCTTTGGCTCTTTGGTGTGTGTTTGTCACACTGGAGTTTTTGTCTCCAGTGTGTGTTTAGAACTATGTTGCTGACCTGAAGCTAATTGATGAGTTGCAGTACTGTAATTAAGACTGTATATTAGTTTAATTATTATGCTAGATTATGCCTCCAATGGGGGGGAGGGGTTAATACTATAGTTCTGTTATTGTGTTTGTGGCTTTGAGTAGTGATGTAAGGTAAGGTAATTATCAGGAGAAAGCACTAAGGCATATTACGACTATACAGCCCTTAGAAAGGATACGAGCATAAGGATTTTGGATGGGATGAAGAAAAGTGGTGGCCAACCACTTGGACAGTCAGGGATTTAATGCCAACCTGCAAGAAGCGAGACCGTCGCTCTACCGTCCAGTCCAAGTCGACGAGCAGTAGTGATCTAAGTGACTTCAATTATTAATGCTCTGTGGTTTTGTATGCCTTTTCTCTTGGACATATTGAGAGTTCAGTGTGCAATACCTGACAAAACATTATCTGCCTCTTGCGTTAATGACATGGCGAGTCAATTCTTATGGTACTATGAGGTTTGCTTACATTTTTGTCTGGTTGTTAAGTGGTGACTTTGCTGTTTGTATCTGATTCTTACTGTGTTACGTGCAGCCTTCGAAGGAGTAACTATTTTTGTTAATGCTGACAATCATTACCGTTTCTCAGTCACTAAGGCTGTTGGATTCAGGGATTCTTTTGAGGATTTGGTTGCTGGACCACTGTTCAACCTGTCCCTTCATGTAATGTTGTAATCCACAAGATAGGAAGGAATACTAGCTAGAGAATCATTACTACAACACTTGACAAATGATGGATAAAAGTACATGTTAAGTATTCAGGCTGTGGTCACACATCAAGGAAAGGTCAAGGGATTAATGCAGCAGCTGCTGCACCCAAATGTATGTTCCAGCCAAGAGGACAAACGGTGACCTCAGGCTTCTAGGGTCAAGGTGACTGATGGTCATTCGGATTATACCTTCCTTGAGAGGCAGGGTGAAATGTTTGAGGCTGGCTGGAGTCAGTCTGGTGGTAGGAGTGATACTGGCAAGTCCTCTTTATCTCCACCTGTGGCAGCAACCAAGTGGAACTGACAAATATGTCGGCACTTGATATGATCTTGTTGACAAAGTCCAGTCTGCAGTATGAGAGTATTGAATGTAAGACTAAACCAGGTGTGTAATGTTGTAGTAATCATTCAGTATTAGGGACTTGGGCGGAGGTTACGAGTGTAGATGGTGTCCGTGGAGGTTTAGTGGGTTTATGGGTATTGGAAGTGGATTTAACCAGATGGTGTATGTTAAGGTGTGTTATTCTTGCCAGAGTCTAGTCTATGTAATTAAATGGGAAACCCAACGGCCTTTAATTACCTTCCATATGTCCCCTCATTGTGTTCCTGTACAAACCTAGTGGTACACCTCAAGGGTCTGGTGTGGAGAAGTACACGGTGGTAGTAACGGTTGCCGAGGCAAGGTGTTGGATGTTGTGTAATCATTGTGTGCGGAATGAACCGGGGTTGGCAACTGGGGAACTTAGTGAGAGAAATGAATTTCGTTGAGAATTTTGTCAGTTTTTAGTGGGTTTGATTAAGAAGAAATGTTGTCAAGAGAAGATGCGACTGATCCATATGCAAAATTCTGGGAAATATGTACTGAACTCGCCTTATTTTCATAACAAAACAAGAAGGGATTGTTTTTGTTTATAAACCCCCTGTGAACCTGTTTAACGGAAACTGCGAGTGTTAAGGATAAACAAATATGCGGAACCAATATACAAGGGCGAGACGTGTAATCAACAAATGAATAAAAAAACTCAGTGCTCCGAAAAGCATAACCTGGCAATAATAGGCAATAAATAAATACATCTATACACTACTTTGAGAATAAAGTAGTGGAAAAATATAAGTGGGATCCTTACATATTCTGTAAATTAGAGTAAATTGCATGCAAAAGACAAAACTTGTCGAGTAAAAGTGAGGGTAACAGGTCCGTGGTGACAGAGGACCAAAGCTGTGCTTAAAGACTAGTACTGGAGTTAGTCGTATGATTTGAGAAGCGAGAGAACTCGTGTGATGACCTAAAGAGAATAACATGAAGCGATATGAATGTACGTGTTCAAGGGAATAGATAAAGTTAATGGAAACGGTGTTTATCTCTACGAGGAACAACAGAACGAGGAGGCAAAAGTGGACGGTAGACACACAGTCAAGGCCGAGATGCAGCCAAATATTGTACGCTGAAGGCTTACAATATTTAATAATAATACAATAGCATAATACAATATGAAAGTGAAATGAGCTCAAGGTCCAAGTGGTGGAAGCCATCTCCATTTCAGTGTGTCCTGGCACAGCAGATATTACTTTTTATTAAGGGTACCGGTAGTGCAGTCTGGTTTGTTCTCGACACACAATCAAGAATTCCGGGTTTGAATCCCGGGAAGCTCCCAGAAATGGTTGGGCACATTTCCTTTAACCTAATGCCTCTGTTTACCTAGCAGTGAGTAGTTGGAAGTATTTGGTATTTGTATCTAGTATTTAGTATTTGGAAGTTAGTCAGCTTGTTGTGGGTCATCCTGTACAGGGTCAATAATTTGACTGGGGGGGGGGGATGTTGATAAGGCAAACATGTATGAATACACTCTGGCTTCCTGTCCCCTGCCACAGTGAATTATTATTATATAAAAGCACACTGTACGATAGCTGTGAAGCAGGGCTCTAGAGCTAAAGCTTGCTCCAGTAGACACAACCAGGTAAGTATAGAACATTATTAATGCTGCCCAATTTGTTGGCATGCTTTCGTCCATTAAATTAAGTTTTTACACTCTGCTTCATCTCTTGCAAATTGATGAACTGTGCCAAATATATTTCATTATTATTTTGATTCTTTTTTCAGAGTTAAAGGAAACCATTGAGCGTGTGGGAACAGAATTCAAGCAGAAAATAGTGGACTCAATTCAGAGCACATGGAATAGATTGTATCAGTTCTACAGCGGTGGACCAAGCCGCAGCCTGGAGCAGCATGTAGATGAGGTTTGTGATATGTCAGTGATGCAAGGAATAAAATATTTTTCTATTAATCTACTTGTAAATTAAAAATTAATTCTGAAGCCTATAAATTTGTATATTAGGCTACTTGTCTGATAATGAGGCCACAAAAGGCCTGTGTTTCTGCATTTGATTCTATGCAGAAGAAAAAATTTAGATGGTTAGACCCTAATGGGTCTAACCATCACCTGTTTGCACCTGTACCATGTGCAGAGTAACAGAGTAACGAACAGAGTAACCAACCTTAGTGTAATTTTGCTACTCTATGATGTAACATTTGGGACTGGTCCATTCTGAAATTTTGAGGTTTTGATTGCATCAAGTTTTTAGCTCTTTATTGCCATGTTTTGGGGCTTAACACACATGATAGAACACATCTTAGACTATGTTTACACAGCCAACTAATAACAACAATCACCGGGGAAGACAGGCCCCAGGCCTACCAGCATGGCCCGGTTGTACTCGTCTGCTTGAGTTTGCCGAGTCCAGGTATTTAGGAAATGTTACAGCTGGTAAGAGTAGTAGTAGTTCAGAAGAGGTTAACACTATCGCACTCGGGTGATTCGTACTTGCCTCCATCATTTTAAAATATTTGTTAAAAATTTACATTTGATACAATCAATCTGGGAGTGGTTTCAAAATGAGCGCCTTTAGATTGCGCACAATTTGATACAATAATGACGATGTAGCCTGACAATTGAGGTCAGAACACTTGAAAGATTATAAATACTTTCATGGTCCAAATTTTAAAATAGTGGCACCTCGACTTACGATTGCCCCGACTCAGGTTCTGGTACATGTTTCCAACTTCTGGATTAGCACAGTTGGATGAAAAATTAATTTATTCGTCAACATAGGTCATGAGTAAACTGTATTTCGTGGTCAGTGGTGTTGGTTCTTCACTGCCTTCTTCATCCTCCTCCTCCTCTTCGCCGACCTCACCAGTAAGTGACTGGAGAATCTCGTCTTCACTCATCACACCATATCCTGGGTCATTGGCATCTCTTTCAAGTCAATCAACCACATCCTGTCTTTCTAAGTTTTTGTCAGCATTTCTGAACATTCCATGGATTTCATCTGTAAGTCCTTCAAAATTTATTTCTTACTCCTCCTCATTGCTGACCTTGGACGTGAGGAGTTTTTTCCAGGAATTCAAAGTCGATTCCTTTACTTCACTCCACACCTTGGCCCAGTTATAGATGGCTTCCTTGATTGTATAGTTCTTCAAATTCTCAAGGTTTTTTTTTAACCCTGTTATCCACACCGAGTTCCACATCTTCCGGAAGAGACAAAACCACCAAAACTTCGTTCAGCATCTTTTTGGTGTACAACCTCTTCATGGCGCAGATAACTCCCTGATCCATAGGCTGGATGAGAGAAGTTGTATTAGGATGAAGTGCCATACACGTTATCTTACCATCATGTGAGGTTAACGTGTCAATTCTGGGGTGGGCAGGCACATTATCATGCAGCAGCAAAGCCCGAACTTCGCTTGGCCTTACTTTGAGTTTCTTAACACTTTCGCTCACTGTAGGCGCGAGACCCGCACTACCCCAGGTGGGTTTCAGCATTTCACAGGATCGTGCGGTAATTTTGAAAAGCATATACTTTTTTGAACTTTGTCACCTCAATTCTTGTCCTAAGATATTAAATTTGGTACCATCAATGTGTTCGCAATAGAATTCTCTAGAGGAATAAATGCATATACAGTGGTACCTCGGAATGCGAGTGTCCCTGTATGCGAGTTTTTCGGAAGACGAGCAGGATTTCCTTGAAAAATATGTCTCGGAACGCGAGGGTTACCTCGGGACGCGAGTTTGTTGATACGCGTACAGGCCGACCCAGCACGTGGTGGTTCGGCGATCGTCGCCCCTCCGCCCCTCAGTTTACCATTGTCTCGCGCTCAGTGACTACCCCACATCAATTCTTCTCGCGGATTTTCAGTGTTTAGTTGGATTTTTGGTGATTTGACTATACAATTTGTTATTATATATCTCACCATGGGTCCCAAGAAAGCCAGTGGTAAGGATCAAGGCAAGAAAGCCCATGTGAGGATGACAATAGAGGAGAAACAAGAGATCATTCGGAAGCATGAGAACGGTACACGTGTTGTTGAACTTTGTAGGCAGTACAACAAAGCCACATCAACAATATGCACTATACTTAAGAAGAAAAATGAGATTATGGGTGCTAAAATGGCAAAAGGAGTAAGAACAATGACGAAACAAAGACCACAAATACTTGAAGTGGAAAAGTTATTAATTTGGATACACGATAAGGAGTTAAGGGGTGATAGTGTTTCGGAGGCCATTATTTGTGAGAAAGCCAGGGTATTGCACGAAGACCTTCTAAAGAATACCCCTGCAACGAGTGATGCAGATACGAAAGAGTTTAAGGCAAGCAGGGACTGGTTTGAAAAATTTAGAAGAAGTGGTATCCATAGTGTTAAAAGGCATGGGGAGGCAGCCAGCTCAGACAAACCAGCCGCTGGACGATTTATTGAGGAATTTAAAGAGTTTGTAGAGGCTGAGGGATACCTACCGCAGCAAGTGTTTAATTGTGATGAAACAGGACTGTTTTGGAAAAGATTGCCTAAGAGGACATACATTACCAAGGAGGAAAAATCCTTGCCTGGACACAAGCCTATGAAAGATAGGTTTACGCTTGTGCTGTGTTCAAATGCGAGTGGCGATTTGAAAATTAAACCCTTGCTAGTGTATCATTCTGAAAATCCAAGGGTTTTCAAACAGTATAAAGTGCAGAAAACCCATTTGTGTGTGATGTGGAAGTCTAATAATAAGGCATGGGTGACTAGGCTTATTTTTCCGGAGTGGGTGAATGAAGTGCTGTGCCCTGCCATAGAAAAATATCTTCAGGAGAAACATTTGCCACTCAAAGCCGTGCTTCTCCTCGACAATGCTCCTGCTCATCCTCCAGGCTTGGAAGATGATTTGTTGCTCAGATACAATAAATTCCTCACAGTTAAATTCCTTCCTCCTAACACCACTCCTCTAATTCAGCCTATGGACCAGAAAATCATAGCGAATTTTAAGAAACTTTATGAAAGGGCACTTTTCTGGAAATGTTTTTAAGTGACTGAAGCCACAAACCTCACCCTCAAATTGTTCTGAAAACACCATTTTAACACTTTCGCGCTTTAGATTAGAGATAACTCGTCGCCGTTTTCTCTTACGATTCCGCATAACAGCAGAGTTTTCTCGTCCATCGAAAAAATATTTCTATAAATTCCATTTTTTAACCGAAATGGATGGGGATACTTTTGTTTTGTAGGGAATTTATTTGCGAATGTTTTGGTACCAGAATGAATATTATATCACATAAACTTCTATGAGTAAAAAAAAAAAATACACAAAGTATGTTTGGGGGTGTGGCGAGCGTGTGGCAGTGGGTTCCCTTTAGCCGTTGATATATCCAACACGTGGGAAATATTTGTATGTGTTATGTATATGTCTGTGTAGGGAATTTTACTGCGATCACTGTCATACAAATTATAAAATGTTTCAACAAGTATAAACATGACAAACATCAAACGAACGAAAACAATGCGTTCGTTTCTGCCGCGAACGCATACTGAGCGACGTGGTTCTATATTTGGCGCTTCTCTTACACATGCTTTGTACAAATGTTATACAGTTCATCTTATAGAAAATTTTATTGCGAACACATTGGTATAAAAAAAGAAATACGTACATAGAAAAGTAGGGTCAGGAAACGTATAAACTTTCCAAGCATGATTTCCCCCCTGTGTTTTCGCCAGTGCGCTCGCGGCTAACTACTCTCCACTTCACACACTCTTGCGGGTGGGCAATTACCTATATTAAACATTCATATGCATATGCCCGTGTAGAGAATTTTATTGCGATTCCAATGATACCAAAATTAGCGATGTAGGACAACTGTAGGCTTCGCAACCATTAAGAGAGTGGAAACATTTTGTTGCTGTTTGGCGCTCTCGGCGAGTGATCTGCATAGTTTTTTATTTGGTGTTGATACTCCTTATGCTTGGGCGGCATTTTATAGGTATGCTCTTATAGACAATTTCATTGCGAACACAGTGATACCAAATTTAAATACGTGCGCCTTCAATTATTGTCAGGACAGTCAAAAGAGTGTACACTTTTCGGTCTTACCACGTAGGCGCGCGAAGTGCCGAAAGCATCTGGGGTATTGTTTTTTTTTTGAGCGCTGAGAGCGCGAAAGTGTTAACATTTGTAGTGCTTTAAAGCTCGTTGACAAAGCCTGGCAAGAAGTGACTCAAAGAACCCTGATCTCTGGCTGGAGAAAATTGTGGCCTGAATGTGTGAGAGAACTAGACTTTGAGGGGTTTGAGCCTGTAAATGATGCGCCTATTGTTGAGGAAATTGTTACTCTGGGCTGGCAAATAGGCTTGGAATTGGATGGTGATGATGTGGATGAGTTGGTGGAAGAACACAACGAAGAACTGACCACCGAAGAACTCCAAGCCCTTCAACAGGAACAGCAAGCCAATGCAGCAGCGGATGATTCTGCAGTGGAGGAGGAGGTGGCAGCAGCGAATGTCCCTTCTGCAGTAATTAAGGTGTCAGATGTGGGAAGAGATTCAAACAATTGTTGAAAAGACTCACCCAGAGAAAGCTGTAGTAGGCCGTTGTCTTAATCCTTTCAATGACAATGTGATGCCTTACTACAGAGAGAGCTTGCGAAGAAAGGAAAAGCAAGCTTCCATGGACAGATTTGTGGTGAGGAAATCGAGCAGTGAGCCTCAACCAGGACCTAGTGGCACTCAGATAAAACGTCCCAGGGAAAGCACACCAGAAAGGTCCTCACTGCCTGATGTGATAATGGAAGGGGACTCCCCTTCCAAACAGTAACTCCTCTCCTCCTCCCCCCTCCTCACCATCTTCCATACGCCTACAGCATTCAACAGCAAGGTAAGTAATAACTTGAACATAGTTTTGTAGGTTTATTTAGATGAATTAGGTATA